TACTCAAAATATACTCAAATCATAATTCGAATTTCATTCGTAGTTTGCGCAAATCACACTTATAATTTGCTTATGTTTCAAACTATGTCTGGAATCGTATTCAAAGTCTGCATAAATCTTGATAATAATCTTGCACAATATCCACTCGAATTTCCACTAAAATTCTATTCAAGCCACGATGAAAATACCACTCAAAACATCAACTTTATTTCGCAAATATGACTCAAGGTTTACTCAAATTTCAATGAAGTTTCTATACAAATATCTACGTTCAATTTGTCTGAAAATTTGCTCAGAGTCTACTCAAATTTTCGTAATCCCGTCTTCGAAAAAGTTCTGAGTAACATAATCCTATTCGAACTTCGTTCCCATTCCGCTGAAAATTCCATTCGTTCCTATCAAGATCTACAAAGTATCATCCCTTTTCAGCGGATGTCTCAGGAGTCTCATTCAAACCTTCGACGGGAAACATTAAAACAGCATACAGACGTGTGTGTGTGTATGTGCACGAAAAAATGCAGGAAAAAGTGAAGATGAATCAGGATAGGAAGAGGAGGGCCGGAGCTGATCGTCGCCAGCAAACTCGGTCAGGCCCGTTGGAAACGACATTAAGCCCGCTAAATGATCGATTAAAGGCGGCGGCACGTCAAAGGTCCCGTTTCATCGCGGCTAATTGCGTTCCCCGTCGCGACTGTTTGAATCCGGTGGCGTTGATAAAGACCGGCGTCGGGATAACGATGCGGTTCGTTCCGCGTCGATCCGGGAACCGATCCGAATCAACAGATAAGAGGATCAGAGAGAGAAAAAAGTGGTTCCGTGAGATCACAGAACTCGAAAAACCAAGCTGCCGCATCAGATAGACATTTTTTACCCGGAATAAAAATTATAAGAAATGTTTAAATCGTACGACTTTGCATTTATGTTTACGTACGTTAAAAGCGGAAATTTCACCCTTTAAAATGAGACCAGGCACATTTTTCTACGATCTTTTTAATGAAAGTTACATCGTCTTGAATATTGCTGTAACGTTGCTTAGCATTTGATGCCCCAAGAGGCTGATGTTTCCGGTACTCTCTCCTTTCAAAATGCCATAAAATAGCAACCAAAACTCGTAGGCAGACTTCTTTGAGCTCGTTGAAGAGAGGAGATCATATTCATCAAAACGGTACAATTTTCGCCTGCGAGAAAAATTTTACAAACCCCTCAGACTCGTGCAAGGTTGAAAAATGGCGAAAAAGTGCCATTTCCGCTAGTCTTACATCTACCAATCATCCAAAAATTCTAGGACAAAATAACTTAGAACAGGTTGAAAGAAAAAATTTCGCTCTTTATAATGAGTCTAAGACCATCGACCTACGATTCTTTTTGTCTAAGTTACAGCATCTTGGATATTGCAATAACGTTGCTTAGAATTTGGTGCATCATGAGTCTGCGACATCCTTCTCATTCAAGCTGTCATAAAATGGCAAACAAAAATCGTAAACGGACTTTTCTCAGCTCGTTGAAGAGAGGAGACCATATTCATCCAAACGGTACTAGTTTCGCCTGCGAGAAAAATTTTACAAACCCCTCGGACTCGTGCAAAGTTGAAAAATGGTGAAAAAGTGCCATTTTCGCTAACACTGCAGCTACCAACGACCAACAAATTCTAGGATAAAGTAACCAGAACAGATGGAAGACGGAAATTTCGCCCTTTAAAATCGCCGCAGGTACATTGTCCTACGGAGGACTCGGGCGAAGCGTCGTGGATCAAAAGCGACCGGTTGTAGCTTGAAAAATAGAAGACAACTGCTGGGACTGCGGGTCTGGGTTTGGTAGTGGCCTGCCACGGTTTTGATCCCGAAGGAATGTCGTCGGCCGTGAGAGGATCGAGAGAGCCAGGCGGAGGCCGGGAGAGGGCCAGATAAGAAAAATCTGCGACGCCGGGCTGGAATCTATGCTCTCTGGCGCGCGCGAGCGAAAGTGCGCCAACCGGAGCCAACGTAATCGGCCTTGAACCCGGCCCGCAGGATCGGTGATCTCAGCCGAGAACGCATTCTGATAAAGGATGTGGGCGTTCGAGGAAAAACCTAGCTCCCTCTCCTTGCCCATCTCTATCTCTCTCTCTCACTCTCTTTCTCTCACTCTCACTCTCTTTCTCTCACTCTCTTTCTCTCTCTATCTCTCTCTCTTCATCTCTCTCCATCTTTCTCTCTCACTCTCTTTCTCTCTCTCACTCTCTTTCTCTCTCTCTCACTCTCTTTCTCTCTCTATATCTCTCTCTTCATCTCTCTCCATCTTTCTCTCTCTATATCTCTCTCTTCATCTCTCTCCATCTTTCTCTCTCTATATCTCTCTCTTCATCTCTCTCCATCTTTCTCTCTCTATATCTCTCTCTTCATCTCTCTCCATCTTTCTCTCTCTATATCTCTCTCTTCATCTCTCTCCATCTTTCTCTCTCTATATCTCTCTCTTCATCTCTCTCCATCTTTCTCTCTCTATATCTCTCTCTTCATCTCTCTCCATCTTTCTCTCTCTATATCTCTCTCTTCATCTCTCTCCATCTTTCTCTCTCTATATCTCTCTCTTCATCTCTCTCCATCTTTCTCTCTCTATATCTCTCTCTTCATCTCTCTCCATCTTTCTCTCTCTATATCTCTCTCTTCATCTCTCTCCATCTTTCTCTCTCTATATCTCTCTCTTCATCTCTCTCCATCTTTCTCTCTCTATATCTCTCTCTTCATCTCTCTCCATCTTTCTCTCTCTCTCTCTCCACCTTTCTCTCTCTCTCTCTTTCTCTCTCTCTCTCTCTCTCTCTCTCTCCACCTTCCTCTCTCTCTCCATCTTGCTCTCTCTCTCTCTCTCTCCATCTCTTTTTTTCTTTCCGGCTTCTCTAATCCGTCTCGGATCTAGGATAAAGGTACTTATTAACACGCGCGTACCAATTACTGTGCGTTATTTCGTTTGTATCAAGATTAAAATTCTTAGAAATTGTCTTGAAAAAATACATGTAGTTCAATAAGATCGTCTTCTAGCTGAGGAAATAGAAATATCACTCAACGCTGATCGCATTTTAAATACATTAATATTTGCAACAACACAACCTTCATAAAGGATGTAAAACACAGAGCATTTTCCTTCTATTATAATTACAATTGGGAAGAATTTACTGTATTTTACAACAAGTATTTTACAATAAATTCTCTCTAATTGTTTGTATTCAGATTGTGCACAAAATGAACAATTTGGGAAGAAAAGATACGATTCTTCCCAAATTGTCCATCTTTTGTTTACAAGCTGAGGGACATTCGGAGAGAATTGACTGCACCATGAGTACTAAACAAATGTTTCAACTTCGTACAAATCGAAAAGTTTTCCTTCGCTTCCTCTTTGCAATCTTCGTTGTGGAGCACATGAAACAAAGGATAATAAAAAATAAAAGAAATAAAAATGAATGAGACCCAACCCATGCTTTCTCGCTTGTTGAATAAGTCATTCTTCCATTTCGCGTTGGGTTTCCTTAATTCCGATTTCAAAGCTGCGGGCGTTCGTGGAATTATTTGGAAATAAATATATAATAAATTCTCCCTAATTGACGCTCAGATTGCGCACGAAAATGGACAATTTGGGGAGAGGAGATACGAATATTCGAGCCTCGCATCGTTTTTATAGTAGTTGACAATCGGTATCTATAAGAACGAGCCGCAGGGCTCGAATAATCGTATCTCCTCTTCCCAAATTGTCCATTTTTGTTCCCAAGCCGAGGGACAATACGAGAGAAATTACTATAACTGCAACCAGAAATCCTGTTGCATTCAATAAAATATGTTATTGTACTTAGAAATTGAAGCTGAATGTTATGGATCGTCATGAAGACGCTAGCTAAAAGTTGCTAGACAAGCTTTTATTCGAAATAGTTGTTACCCAAAATTTATTTCGTATTCAATAAAACATGCCATTTTTATAGTTCGTTTTTATAGTTACCGATTCTCAACAACTATAGAAACGAACTGCGAGGCTCAAATAATCGTATCTCCTGTTCCCAAATTGCCCATTTTTGCGTACAAGCGTCAATTAGAGAGAATTTGCTGCACCTACACCTTACGATGACTCGAATCAGCGCGAATCAACAAGAACTGAGACGATCGAACGTTTCGGGAAGTCCTCGGGAAAGGTCAACCGTGAATCGGCGGCTTAATCCTCGCGAGGAATTCCCATTGTTACCGGTTACAGCTGTTCTGCTCGTTTTCTTGCCGGATTTAGAGCTTATTCGTGTCCGGGAGTGGCTCTTTTGTTAGCGTAATGGCTGGTGGGAGCAGTCGGCGAAGAAATTGGAAATGGGATTAAATAATGGCGGGCGACGCCGTTCGCGACTTCCACGGGGCATCGTCGAACTTGTTAATAGACCACTGGAAAACCCGTTTTGCTCTCACCTCGGAAGGAAATTCCGGTAACAGTTTCGTTCTCGAAATGGTTCGAAGTTTTTTGGAATTTTTCTCGACCCTTTTGCGACACAAAGTGTTCACTGCTTATCGAGTCAGGATTTACTACTTTTACACGATCCTCATTTTTTTTTATTCGTCTCTTTCTATTTATTCTAACTTTTATTTTTCTTACCTCAACGACGATTCTCTATTATTTTCTGTCTTTAAAAATTAAACTGTGAAATTTGTTGCTGTCCTGCCTGTTGCAAGAAAATCGCAGATTTTTATGCATCTGTGATTGCATAATAATTGCATCGTATGCAACGTAGTAGAAACATGGTTTGAAGATAGTAGATTACAATGAATCGGTATTGTATGATTCTATTGGCAACCGATTGAAACGATTAAGAAAAAAGAAAATTATGTATGTAGTGTTTCTGCAGTTTGGAATCAGTGTGGGCAATCTTTATTTTGCATGAAAGTCTGGTAGCGCTAGTTATAAATATTAAAATTGCAACAGTCTTTCACTCGTTACTGAACTGCGGATTTTATGGATTTATGATAGAAATGAATAAATCAGACGCAAAACATATAATATTATGTTATATTATATTGTTTATATTATTTAATTAATCATATTATTATTATATTATTATTATATTAAATCATTCAAAAGAGAAATGAATGTCTATGAAGTTCTCGTTCGTAGCAATCGACGCGCGAAATGTTTGTTCTGCATAAATATCGGCGGTCTACTTATTACAGTTTTCGTATAAATTAGCAAACTCTTGTTTCGCATGGAACTTCACAGTCTGGTGATAATGTGCTATGATTTATCGGACTTACGGTTGCTTGATTAGCCAGAAAAAGTGATTCGATGGAAGTTGATTCGGCACTCACCTGGAACACAGTAAAAATACGGAACAGTTAATACACAAAGTTGCTTCTTAAGTACGTTGAGAAAAGAGGAATACCGTACTCTAGGACACCTAATCAAAAAGTAAATAAGTAACTAACTGAACTAGATTTCTAAATAAAATAAGGTTCGAATTAATTTCAAACTCATTAAGTTTACTTTCGAATTGTTAACTTCACTCCGAATTGTTAACTCCCTTTATACAAGGGCGTCCCAAAATTATGGTATTTCCGGGAAATGAGGGATTCCTGAGATCATTTGAAGTAACTTTTTCCTCAGCGAAAATGCAATCCGCGGCTTCGTTTACGAGTTATTAACGAAAAACACTGACCAATAAGAGACGAGATCAGTTGACGTGAGGCGGCCGAGCCAAACTGGTCTCTCATTGGTCGCTGTTTTTCGTTAATAACTCGAGAACGAAGCCGCGGATTGCATTTTCGCTAAGGAAAAAGTTACTTCGAATCGCCTCAGGAACCTCTCATTTCCGTTTGTACAATAATTTTGGGACACTCTGTAGCTATTGACAATCGGCGACCGTTCAAAACGGGTGTCACAAAGCTCGAATAATCATGTCGCCTCTTCCCAAATTGTCCATTATTGTTTACAAGCTGAGGAACAATTGGAGAATATTTATAACTAAACATTCTCGTGAAAAAACGTAGAATTCCGAAAGACAAACCTAAATCTTGCATCGACCTTCAGACCGCCGAATAGACGGACAAGACGACGAAGAGGAACCCGGCGAACGGACGGGAAAAATAAAAGGAGGAGCGTCCCGCGAAAACCAAGAGAACCGGAACGTTCTCCATAGTGCGTCCGTGTGCCTGAATGTCAGCATTATGCTCGCGGAGTCAAGGCAGACGCGCTCGCTCCCCGGTATCTCGTCGGGATATCATACAAGGTACGACTTTCGTCCTGACTTCTCCCGTACCCCCACCATGCCCCCCACCATCGTTCTTTCTCTCGCGTGTCTGAAACTGTCGTGGGGACAATGGTGAGGTTGTATCCGAGCAGACGGGCCTGCATTGTTAAACGACATCGGTGAGAACCAAGGAGAAAAGCTACGTCACTGCGAGCGGAGAGAGAGAGAGAGAGAGAGAGAGAGAGAAGCGAAAACGACGAGGACAAGTCGCTGATAACGCAGCTGGAATCGCACGTATTTCAAATAAAACGACGCTCGTACTTTAATTAAGGCGGTGCACCACCCTCAAGCGTTGAGATATAGGAAAAGGGTGGATTTTTATAGGGTAGATGTTTATACGGTACACTTTTATAGGGTAGATGTCCCAATTTCTGTGCCTGTCCCAATTTCCGTGTCCTCGGATTAAAAACGTATAGAAATAGAAACGTTTTATGTATGAATTGATGATTAATATGTCTTTGATTATGTTTACCTAGCAACATGCGAGATTTAGAGAGAAGTTGTTGCATTGTTTATGTGTTAAAATGTAGCGAATATTTTTTAATCGACGATACAGCAGTTTCAAATTCACTAATTTATTCAACGTCTTAAACTGTTCTGAATTAAAGAAAGCACAGTGTACAATGGAAATTCTGTTTCTAAAAAGGGACATGTAGAGAGGCAGTGTACTAAATAATGCAACTGGTTCAAACACCATGTGAATCTCAATCAACTTAAAATTCACTGATTATCCAATATTTTTTAAATCATTCTTCACAAAGAGAAGCATATTGTACAACGCAAAATCTGTTTTTTTTTTCAATGGACATGTAGAGAGGCAGGGTAGCAAATAATGTCTGAACTGCTTCAAACGCCTCATGAACTTCAAAAAATTAAAAATTCACTGATTATCTAAACTCCTGAACTATTCTGAACTAAGGAATGCACATTTTACAATGCAGACTCTGTTCCTACAATGGGCATGTAGAGAGGCAGATACCAAATAATACCTCAACTGCTTCAAACACCATGTGAATCTCAATCAACATAAAATTCACTGCCTATCCAATGTCTTAAACTATTCTCCACTTTCAAAAAAGCACATTGTACAATGCAAAATCTGTTTCTGCAATGGACATGTAGAGAGGCGAGATACTAAATAATGCCTCACTTGCTTCAAACACCATGCGAACCTTAATCAACTTAAAATTCACTGATTATCCAAAGCCTTAAACAATTCTCCGCTAAGAAAAGCACACTGTATAGTACGAAATCTATTTCTACAATGAACATGTAAAGAGGCAGAGTAGCAAATAATGTCTCAACTGCTTCAAACACCTCATGAACCACAAACAACTTAAAATTTACTGCCTATCCAATGTCTTAAACTATTCTCCACTTAAAAAAAGCACATTGTACAATGCAAAATCTGTTTCTACAAAATAGTATAGTAATATTATAGTAATAGTACATATATAGTATAATAGTATAATAGCATATATAGTATATATAGTATAATAGTATAATAGTATATATAGTATATATAGTATAATAGTATAATATATATTATAGTATAATAGTATAATATATATTATAGTAATAGTATAGTAATAGTAATATTATTGTACTAAATAATGTCTAAACTGCTTCAATCGTCTCATGAACATCAATCAACCTAAAATTCACTGCCTCTCTAATGACTTCAACCATTCTTCANATATATAGTATAATAGTATAATAGCATATATAGTATATATAGTATAATAGTATAATAGTATATATAGTATATATAGTATAATAGTATAATAGTATATATAGTATATATAGTATAATAGTATAATATATATTATAGTATAATAGTATAATATATATTATAGTAATAGTATAGTAATAGTAATATTATTGTACTAAATAATGTCTAAACTGCTTCAATCGTCTCATGAACATCAATCAACCTAAAATTCACTGCCTCTCTAATGACTTCAACCATTCTTCACTAAGAAAAGCACACTGTACAGTGCAAAATCTATTTCTACAATGAACATGTAGAGAGGCAGGGTAGCAAATGATGTCTCAACTGCTTCAATCGTCTCATAAACATCAATCAACCTAAAATTCACTGCCTCTCTAATGACTTGAACCATTTTCCACTAAGAAAAGCACACTGTACAGTGCAAAATCTATTTCTATAATACAATGAACATATAGAGAGGCAGGGTAGCAAATGATGTCTCAACTGCTTCAAACACCTCATGAACCACAATCAACTTAAAATTCACTGTCTGTCCAATGCCTCGGAACATTCTTCACTAAGAAAAGCACATTGTACAATGTAGAATTTGTTTCTACAGTGGACATGCAGAGAGGCAGGGTACTAAATAATGCCTCAACTGCATCAATCACCTCATAAACCTCAATTAACTTAAAATTAACTGCCTATTCAAAGCCTCAAACCATTCTCAACTAAAAAAAAAGCACACTGTACCTATTTCTACAATGCACGCGAAGAAAGGCAGAGTACCAAATCGTTTCTCAACTGAAAATTCCGTGCTGAACCGACGCGCGTATCGCGGTCTACCGAGACGAGGATATCGCAAGACACCCAAGTTACGAAGATCAAGGTCACAGAGAGGCCGAAGAGGAGCGAGCACGAGGAACGCTGCCAGTCGGCCAGGTTACCTAAGAAGCGTTCGAAAATGTCGGGAGAGGGTTGGCAAACCGGAAGCAAACGCGATACCGTGTCAGTGGTGTTAGCACCGAGCCCTTGGCAGTTGGCAGCCGCCGATCGATCTCGGAGGAGGCCGAAGACACTGTCCGATGCACCCGCGGATCTTGTATTTCGGTGTCGACGCCGACTTTCAGGCAGCGATCGCCTATAAATAGGCTTAGCCGAAGTTGCCAGCGATAATGCAAGGCCGAGGAACTAGCGGGAACAATAGCCAGCAGAAGTATGCGACCGGTCGATACACCGTTATCGAGCCTTGCCGTCTTCCGACGGGCCCTTTGTCCTCCGACTCTCGTCGACGCGCAGTGCTTCGGGAATTTGTTCCCTGTGGCATAAATTATTTTCAACTGTCGATCGTACGAGAGCTTGGAAATAAATTGGAGAACTATTAGAACACAATTTTTGAAAAATTATCCTCGATTCTCGAAATTCGACCGACTTTGGTAATTAATGTATTGAGACGATTAAGAATTGCACAGGTTTAAAACTCAAGGTAAACACAGTCGTAAGGAAGCTGACAAATAAATTGGAGAACAATTAGGAGAGAATTTTTGAAAAATTCTCTTCGATTCTCGAAATTCGGTTAACTTTGGTAATTAATGTATTGGGACGATTAAGAATTGCACAGGTTAAAAATCCAAGATAAGCACGAAGAAAGTGCAAGTCGTAAGGAAGCTGGTAAATAAATTGGAGAATTATTAGGACAATTTTTGAAAAATTATCCTCGGTTCTCGAAATTCGGCCGACTTTGGTAATTGATATATTGAGACGATTAAGAATTGCACAGGTTTAAAATTCAAGGTAAACACAGTCGTAAGGAAGCTGACAAATAAATTGCAGAACAATTGGGAGACCAATTTTTGAAAAATTCTCCTCGATTCACGAAATTCGGTTGACTTTGGTAATTAATATAATGAGACGATTCAGAATTGCACAGATTAAAAATTCAAGGTAAATACAAAGCAAGTGTAAGTCGTAAGGAAGCTGGTAAATAAATTGAAGAGCAATTGGGAAATAATTTTTGAAAAATTCTCTTCAATTCTCGAAATTCGGTTGACTTTGGTAATTAATGTATTGAGACGATTAAAAATTGCACAGGATACAAGTTCAAGGTAAATACGAAGCAAGTACAAGTCGTAAGGAAGCTGGTAAATAAATTGGAGGGAGAGAATTTTTAAAAAATTCTCCTCGATTCTCGAAATTCGGCCGACTTTGGTAATTAATATATTGAGACGATTAAGAATTGCACAGATTAAAAATTCAAGGTAAACACGAAGCAAGTGCAATTCGTAAAAAAGCTGGCAAATAAATTGGAGAACAATTGGAATACAATTTTTGAAAATTCTCTTCGATTCTCG